TTTATTTATATTAAACTGATAAGAGATAGATAGATAGAGGTGTGTGTAAAATTTGTGCTACTGTAGAATTAACACTGACAGCTAAGGAGAATATCTTTATTTATTATTTTCACTGTCTAATATTGATCAAAGTTGTCTCTGAGCTTGTAGTTTGAGTGTGACTCAGCAGTACTAAGATGCACTAGTGTGGGCGCTTAAATTTAGTTTTTCACTCACTCGCATGGTAAAGGCTCATCACACGAGACTAATTCAAACGTGTGCTAACAAATATGAACCATGATTTAAATGGCGATAATTGGGTGCCAGTTTGGCTCAGTGGTTGACCATGTGACTGCATGCCGCATGGCCAGAAAAGCAGCGGACCAGGTTCGAGTCTGACCTCCTGCCCTTTGCAGCCTGTTTTCCCCTCTCTCCCCGCTTTCCTGTCAGTCCACTGTCTCTATCCTATATAGACAAAATGCTAAAGAAAACCTGGGTTTGTTTCATAAACAGTTTATGAGCTGCCGCTGTCACAACAGGAACTTTGAAATGTAGTAAAACATCAGCAGGAAACTAAACAAGGACTACAGTGGATGCAACATCACCAGATTTAAGGACAAAAGTTTAAACTTGTAGCTGAAGATTTGTCTGAGCACGGTTGTTCATGTATTTGCTCCAATGCAGGTGGCAGCAGGAGCTACCGGCCTGGCACAGAGGGCGCTCGACGAAGCCACCAGTTACGCTCTGGAGAGGAAGACCTTCGGCAAAGTTATTGCTGAGGTGTGTTCAAGCATTTTGTTTGTCCTTTAAAATCTGGGTATCCTTAGTTGGACTGCTTTTGTTTTAAACTCGGATGAAGAAAAGATCAACGTGCTTCTGTTTCTTGTTTCGCAGCACCAAGCTGTGTCCTTCCTCCTGGCTGAGATGGCGATGAAGGTAGAGCTGGCTAGGATGGCGTACCAGCGTGCTGCCTGGGAGGTGGACCAGGGCCGCAGAAACACCTACTACGCTTCCATCGCCAAGGCCTTTGCAGGGGACATCGCCAATCAGGTGGCCACTGATGCTGTTCAGGTATTTGGAGGCAACGGCTTCAATAGCGAGTACCCTGTAGAGAAGCTCATGAGGGATGCAAAGATCTACCAGGTGGGTGACAATAATGTGCAACTATGCACTACTACACCATCTCAGCTTCATCTTCTTTAATTAATCTGATTTCTTTTGTAGATCTACGAGGGCACAGCTCAGATCCAAAGGCTCATTATTGCCCGAGAACACCTGGGAAGAGCCAAGAAATGAAGTCTGCTCATCATCATTTAAACTTACTTTTCATGTTTGGTATACATAATGTATTTGTTTCTTTCTATTTGGCCACTTGAACTCAGGATAACGATCAAAATTTTGCATTAATGTCACTTCCTACTGCGGTTTTCAAGAGTGATCCAGATCAACACGACCCATCAGCCTCCTTTCGCCTCAGAATTCACGATGCCATAAGTTACACCAATTAATCAAGTCACAGAATATGACACAGCTATGTCCTGATCACAGAACAGTTTCTGTTAATGATGGTGGTGGGGGCTGTGTAGCATTAATACAGTGTGATCTGCCAATTGCCTGTTGTGCTGTGAAGCTTCTGCTGATGAACCTGAACTGTTGGGACTAAAGTTAGAAAAAAGGGACTAGGATTGGACTAACCTTTCGCCTTACTCTGTTGCTGCAGTACTTTAACAGTGTGATTGGTGTTTGATCACATTCACTCTTCTTTGCATCAGAAGTTTGATAAATGGTCATT